GACCAGGCTGGTAGAGCCACCTGCCTCTGCCTCCCAAGTGCTGGGATTAAAGGTGTGGGCCACCACACCTGGCTTCACACATCTTTTTTTTTTTCTTTCTTTCTCTTTTTCTTTTTTTTTTTTCCCCACGAGGTCTCACTATATAGCTCTGGCTGGCCTAGAACTTACTACATAGACCAGGCTGGCCTTGAACTCACAAAGATCTGCCTGCCTCTGCCTCCTGAGTACTGGGATTAAAGCTGTGCTTCACCATTCCCGCTCTTTTTTTCTTTATAAGCTGATTATCTCAAGTATTTGTTGCTGTAACAGAAAATTGGCTAACACAAAGCTCCTGTCTCAGGACCTTTGGACACCATCTCCTCTGCCTGCATGTTCTTCATCAAAAGAACTTCCTGGTTTTCTCCTACCTCCTTAGAGCCTCTGCTTGAATGTCCCATCTTGGGAGGTCTCTTCCTCTCCTTTATTTAGCCTTGATCTTCATCTGATAGACTCCTCTGTATCTGTGGATTCTGCATCCATGGAGTCAACCAAACACACATTTAAAAATACTCAGGAAAAAAAAAAAAAATCACATCTAGCCGGGCGTGGTGGTGCATGCCTTTAATCCCAGCACTCAGGAAGCAGAGGCAGGTGGATCTCTGTGAGTTCAAGGCCAGCCTGGTCTACATAGTGAGTTCCAGGACATCTGGGGCTACAGGGAGACCCTGTCTCAAAAAGACCAAAAAAAAAAAAAATCTGTCCTGCACATGTACAGACATTTTTCCTTGTCATTATTCCCTTAATCAGGACAGGATAACTAGTTATACTGCATCCATGTCGTAAGTGATTCAGTACGCACATGCACAGGCCAACACAAATTTTATACCATCTTACATAAGGAACTTAAGCAGCTTTGGGTTTTGATCCCTATGGGCGGTCCTGGAACCAACCCCTTGTATATTGGGCAGTGATTGCACTTACATATTTTACTGTCTATTTGATTTTTGTCTAAAATGTAAGCCCCAGGAAGGCCAGAATTTTTTAATGATTTAGTGTTTGCTTTGAAGCACTGTGGTATCCATCTGCTAAAATGAACAGTCTGGCGCTATCCAACCTTCCAGGAATCCCACTGAGAGTTCTTAGCTCTGGACTCCAGGAATAAAAGTGATTGGTTGAGACTCATTTCACAGCTCAAGAAGTATGTGAAGGGACAAAGCAAGAAGTGACATAGAAAGCCCCAGCTGAGGGTACCTGGCCACAGGAGGCACAAGGGCCAGTTCATAAGGAGAGGCTTGCAGGTACCTCTTGCCCAGGCAAGATGAGGTCACAAACATGGGACCTTGAGCATAGGGGGTATCAGTCACAAGAAAGCCAAGAAAAGAGGGAAAAGAGAGGGCTTTTTATGACAGATGAAGTCAGACAGAGGTAGAGGAACGAGAGAGGCAAGGTGGTTACAGGGACTTCCTTGTTGAGAGTCTACAAGGAGAGTCCCATACTCTCCAGTGGTTGAGACCCTGTTGGCCTAGGCTGGCTAGGCTACTTAGTCCTGAAGTATCAACCTAGCATTCTTGTGCCTCTCTCAGGAAGCATAGCACACCTGGGCACACTTCAACAGGTGAACATGAGAAACATGGTGATCATCAGAAACAGAAACATGGGCCAGATTCTACAGCCTAGTTGGACATAAAAAATATCTGCAGAAGTGGTGTTGTGCCTAAGCATGCAGGGTAAATGCAGCTCCCTCCAGGGGACAGTACTACAAGAAGAGTAAAAAGGCCTACCTTCATGGAGTGTGTACCAGGGAAAGGGAGGCCTTCAGGCACAGAGAGCAAGTCCCTGTCAGTCTCTGGCTGAAGTCTGTGTCTTGAGCAGTGCAGGGTATATGGCAAAGTGACCCATCAGACAAACAAGAATACAGATGAGACAAAACAGAAGAGGCAAGGATAGAGCTGTCCTAGCACAGCCAAGCCATCAGACCTTACCCAACTCTCTTGCCAAAAAGAAAAAGAAAAGAAAGCAAAGAAAATAAGAAAGCAAAGAGCTGAAGACAAGCTCTTGGCTCTCATGGACGTTATGGTGGTGACTGCTCCATGGCACAATGTCATTTAGCTCTTACTACTCTTGGCCTACCTTGATCTGGGTGGTGGTATGATCTAGACTCAAGGGAATGGACTGGACAACTTTCCTATGTGGGGTCTGAGGTGCCCATAAGAGGGATGGGAATGTGTGGTGTGGAGGCTTGGCTCCCCAGGTGACATAGCCACCTAGCTCCTGGCTTCAGACCTGGGCCAGCAAAGGAAGGGAGGTAGCACAGGTGCTGAGAATCTGTGTCCATTGCAGCTGTGCTCTGAGGCCCTGCCCAGGCCCTCTTCCTCTAGAGGAGACAGTGACCTTGCTGAGGCCTGTCATGGAGACAATGGCAGGAAGTGCCCCTCCCTGCCTGAGCCTACATAGGGAGGAAGTTGGAATGAAGCCAAGAGGGCCTATGCCAGGAGATCCTAAGACAATGAGGTGTAATGAGGACTCCTCATTGACCCTAAGACAATGAAGACGCCTAAGCCAAAGCTTGGAGTCCTACTCACCCACTCAGAATGGAAAACATCTTCAACTTGGAGAAGGCAAATGGTCTCCCTGTCTGGGACCCCTCTTTGAGGCAGACCCTCTGTGATGCCCTGCCTCTGGGCCAGGCAAATGCAGAAGATGCCAAACTTCTGAGAAACAAGCCAGCTACCCTGTCCTGTCCTCTAGCCTACCACCCTCTGGAAGGAAAGGGCTTGGAGTTCCTTTGAAGCAAGAAGCTTCTCTAAAAATAAACCTTGCTCCTTGGGCCCTTTCCTTCCTCACCCTGATGGAGGAGACCATGGGGAGCATTCTTGTTTTCAGTACCCCCTGGCAGGGGTGCTTGCCACCAAGAAGCTCTCTTTCTGCTGTGTCCATCATGGAAACAGCCTGCAGGGAGCAAACTTGATTGTCCTCATTCAAGCCTACTGTGTTCCAGGTCTGAGTTTGTAGGACATTCAAGTATTGGGGGAACAAGATGGGTACAGAGACTCTTCCAATAAAGGGCTCCCAGGCTGATGACACAGAGACACCCAAATAATTCAGGGATTAGGGTGACAATATTCTTATCAGAGATACAGCAGTAAGCTGGAATGACGTGAAAGAAGGATGGGCTAGTATGGTTTGGGGGCTTATAAAAAGGTGGTTGAAATGGGCTGGGAAGGAGAGACAAGAAACTGGCAAACAGAGGTGGGAAGGGGGATCTCAGGACACTGACACAACACCAGCAAAGCACAGAACACATCAGGGTGAAAACTGATTCCCCATGGGCTTCTGTCTGTTTTGTTCTCAACTGCATCCCTAGCACCTGGAACAGTACCTCTCGCTTCTGTGTTCACAGACTGACACAACATGCACAATACACCTAGTGTACACCAAGTACTTGATAAATACTTGCTGGATACAGGAGTGAAGCAGAGACATCACTGAGGACCTTTGGGTGGGATGGGCTTTGAGGCCCTCACCTCTGCAAATTCATTGATGTCTGGGATACAGCTGCTAAGCAGGAAAAAGTCCCCTCCTGTGAGAAAGGAAACAGGAAGCAGAGGCCCCAAGCTAATGCTGGGGCAGGGTCCCTCCAAGCACTAAGAGGTAATGTCAGCATTCAGGCCCTGCAGGACAGGGTTCTCTGAGGCCCCTGCCTTGTGTTGGAGGCCAATTCCACTAGCACATGGCCAACCACAGGGCTTGGACCCTGCAGAACTTGAGTGACCTCAAGAGAAGTCATGAGTCAAGGCTGAGTATTCTGATGTTACTCTCCCCACAGCCCATCCTGCACTGAGACACCTTGGAAAGTGAAGAAAAACAAAACAAAAAACAACACAGCACTCTCTCTTTAGCACTTGGAGGCCTTTTCACAGCAAGTGACGAGAACAAGCAATTAAAGAAGGAAACAGCCCACGATGCCAGTCTGCAAATGTAGAAGCAAAAGGGGCACATTCGCCAAGCCGGAGGCAGCCCAGGAAGCCCTGTACCCTGCCTGGGGTTCCCCAGTGCGGAAGGGGCCAGGAAGGGAAGAGACAGATAGGGCCTGGCCTGGGCTGGAACCAGAGGCAGCACATGCATCACATTTAGAAAACTAGACTGTGTGCTTCCTGGTCTAAACTAAGGGTCCAATCCCAATCCTACTGCTGACTAGTCACATGACATGAGGCTAATACTTGAAGCTTCAGATCCCCCATGTAAAATGGGATTCCAATGGCCACAGCAGATAGGTGCATTTAAAGGCTACATCAGAGGTTGGGAACAGTAAACCTCCCTCCCCTCCAGCTTCCTCATCTTCCCTAGAAGAAATGTTATGTCCAATCTTTGCATCCCAAAGCTTTCACCACACCTGGACACCTGAGTGTCCAGAAGAGAGTTGGTGGGAGTTAGGGAAAGAAAAGGAAAAAAAAAAAATCACTTCACCTCTTTTCCTATTCACCAAAGGCCTTGGTGTAAAAAGGCAGGTAGGAGACATGGCACAGTAAACTAAATGGACAAGAAGCCAGAGTGGGTCCACAGAGACAGAGCTAAGAAAACATACAGAGGTGAGTTTCTGGGTCACTGGTACAGTTTGTGGGCAATAGGTTGAGCAAGCAGCCCAGCCTGTGCCCTTCACTGAGACCAGAAGTATCACTGAGGTCCTGGCTTACCAGCCAGGAAGAAGCCACCTTCAAGACAAAACTCTGGCCTACCCTGTCCCATATCCTGTCTGTGACCTAGAGCAGGGGACCCAGATTGAGCCTTAAGAGCAAACAACAAAGAAACTCTTCGGTGTGCTCTATGTGTGGAGGAACACAGCTGCTGGGACCGCAAGTGTTGAATTGAATCAGGATACCAGGGACAAAACACCAACTCTTCCAGTTAATGAAGGTGAGTCAGTTGATATTTTCACTGAATCAATAAGCATGATCTACCCACAGCAATCAGATAGTTTTTTTTTTTTTTAAGGGAAGAAAGAAATGGCAAAAGCTTTGTACCTCTCAAACTCCAGAGACGGGCCACCTGCAAAACTGCAACTCCAGGAGGTGGGGCTACTACACAGGAGGCTGATCCTTACCTGTGGATCTGAGTAGCTCCGTTGATGTCCCCACCACAGGAGGGATGGATCAGCAGACCCACAGAAGGATACTGGGAACCAGGACACATGTGCCAGCATCCTGCAGGGAGAAACCAAAGGGAAAGATAAGACACCTGGGCTCCCCATTGCTCTATGCCAATCAACAGGGAAATTGGCAGAGCTGGCAACATCCTGAACAATACCAGACTCAAAGCCCAAGTGAAACAAGGTCAAAGAGTATATATGACAGGGAGGTCTCTATTTTACAAAAGGTCCTGGTCTAGGATGCATTCAGATAGCAAGTACCTAACTCAGAATCAGCAATGGATATAGCTCTCCTAGCCTCCAGCCTAAGGGTTTCACCCAGGACTCTGTTGAGATTAAGAGGACTTCAGGCCATGGGGCTGGGGCAGGGAAGAGGACAGCTGGGAAACTAGGCAAAGCAGAAAGGGGGAGACATATGGCCTGACAGTCCTAGGTCAGGAGATGCAGGTGGTCTTCATCCCTGCTAGCAAGCCTCTTAAGTCTCTTCAGCTGGATAGTATAGGAAGAGATGCCCACCTCTGCTGAGTACCCAGAGACTAGAGCTGAGCTTACAAAACAAGACAAAAAAGAGAACTGGATTTTCAGGGAGTCCCAGGTCGAACTGGTCTTCAGACAACAGAATATTCAGGAGTACAATGAAGCCACTGCTTAGCCCAGGGCTGCTATATGGACTCAAGACACACCCAGGCCCTTATCACAGCTCAACACTAGTCCTGTCTGCCAAACACCCTTAGGAGCCTCTTCCCCTCTGGCCCCTGTATCTATGCCCAGGGAGAACCTCCAATGACCTCCACTGTAGCTCTTCAGGCTACAGATGCTGAATTGTTTCAGGAACTGATGCCCAAGTCCAGGGCAGTCCAACTTCAGCAGCAGAGGCCAGGTACCAGGGCTAATAAGACACTGGTTCTGTGGTAAGGGCAAACAGTCTTGACAGAGGTAAAAGTAAAACCCAAGGGGAGTTTAATGGAAGATCTGGACAAAGTGTTCAACTACCAGAGAGCAGCATGGCCATCAAGAAGAGCCAGGAGTGAGAGAAAGATATGGGGAGGTGCAGAGATGGTGGTGCGCAGTAGTGGGAGGTGTGGCTGCAGGGAACGGCAGCTCTTCACAGGCCGCCCACACCACTCATCCTACACCCCAAGGAATGCCATGGTGAGGGGAGCAGGCAATTTGGGGGGGCTGGCCCTCAGAGGCACAGGTTCCTTTGGCAGTCCTGTCTCTGTATCCTGTGTTCATGGCCACACTCACACACCTTCATACCTGCCTGATCCCTGAACCAACAGAACATGCCAGGTTTCCTGAAGCCTAGCGAGTGCTGCTGCTTAGGCTGTCTAGTTTGCTCTTCATGTCATCAGGTGTCACAGCTCACCCAGCTGAACACAGAGATTCTGAGCTTTCCTAATTCTTAGCTTTCCTCTACCACACCTCCAAAAATTATGAGGTCATCATTTAGTGTCCCTACCTTTGGGGTAAGGGAACCAGTGGAGAGGGGGGAGGGTTTACCATGGTAACACCTCAGTGTGGTAAGCCACATTTGGCAGGCAAGCCCATCCATTCTACACAATGTGCTTTCCTGTGGGTGAAAAGGTCAATGGTGACTCACACCCAGAAGAAACAGTTCTGCAAGGACTGAAGGCACTCTGGGAGAAAGAGGCAAAGAGGGGTTCTGTGGGAATTTGTGTCCCTGACAAAATCCACTGAAGATCTGAGAAGTGTGCAGTACCAAGTTAAGGAGCAGGTCTTGCAGACAGCCACTCAGAGAACAGACCTGGGCAGGGACCACAAAGCACCATTACAATGATCCAAAATTTCATCACTGGTCAACCAAGGTTCCCTCCAACGACTCAGCACATACACAGGGAGAAATGAACCAGTCCTCTTGCTGAGCTCTGTGTTTGTAGCCATGACCCTGGGAACTAGGGTCTACACCCAAATAATATACCATGTGCTGATGTTCCTAGGAGCAAGAAGAAAACATTTTTACTGCCTTAAGTTTTAAATATTTTATTTGTTATTTTTATTTTATGTGTATGAGTGTCTTGCCTGCATGTATGTGAGTGCACCTGTGTCGTGCAATGCTGAGGAGGCCAGAAGAGGGCTTTGGATTCTCCTGGAACTGGAGTTAAGGATGGTTTGTAGCCGCCATGTGGGTGCTGGGAATCAAACCCGGATCCTCTGCAAGAGCAGTCAGTACTCTTAACCACTGAGCCATCTCTCCAGTCCTGCCTTAAGTTTTAAACCTAAATCTTCAGTATGCCCCTTGAAGGATGTGGAGAATTGCAGGGGAAAAAAAAAAGAAAACAAAATAAAACCTGCCTTAGAGATAGACCAGCAAAGTCAGAATTGCTTTCCTAAAAATTTTCAGAACCCTCATGCTACTCCAGTCAGTGGAAGTGAATTAGTAAGTGAATCTGTTTCTCTATATGATTTCTATTAATAGAATATCAGTCTCTCCTCATCCCCACTAAATAAATGTCAAACACTTAAACAATACCAGTTTGATGGGGCGCCAAGTAGCTTGCTTGCCCAGACGTCCTCATGAGTCAAGCTGGCCCCAGCTGGAAGCCTAAGTTCCAAAAGAGTGGGTAGTGTGGCTGAAGCCCTGCACTGCTGTCTCCACCCCCACTGACATGGAGATTGAGGCAGGTGGCTACAGAATGAGTAGAGAGAATGACACACATGGCGGGTGGCTCCAAAGCAAACTGTCCAGGACTGTGGACACCATGGGGAAGCAGGGTTGCTCACTTTTTTTTAAGTTTAGATATAACCCACATGCCATGAAGCTGACCTTTGAAAGTGTACAGTTTGGTAGTTATTAGTCTATTTTCAAGGCTGTCCAACTATCATGCTATCTTAATCCAAAACATTTTCATCACCTTCAAAGAAACCCTGTACCTATAGCAAACACTTCCTATTCTCTCTTCCCTCAGTGCCTGTGGATGGCTAATTTGCCTTCTGTACCTGTGGATTTGCCTATTCTGGACACTTCACACATCAGTGGGAGTCAGAGAGTTCACAGTCCTTTGTGTCTGGCTTCTTTCACTGGTTGTGTTTTCAGAGATCACAGCATGTGGCAGTATGCTATTACTTTTTAAAAGGTTTTAGCTATTAATGTAAATTTTTTGGCAGTGCCTAGGACTGAACCTGAACCCAGAGCCTCACACGTCAGGCAAACTTTCTACCAATGAACCATATCCCCAGCCTACTCCATTACTTTTTATGATTGAGGAACATTCTGTTGAATGGACCACAATTTGCTTCTCTGTCCATCTGTCACCCAACATCTAAATTGTTTCTACCTTTCAGCAATTATAGAAAAGCTACTGTGAATACTTGCATACAAGTTTTTGTGTGGACATATATTTTCAACTCTTAGTATTTTGGATTTCTTTTTGTCTTTTTGAGACAGGGTCTCCCTGAAGACCCAACTGGCCTGGAACTCACTATGTAGACCAGGCTAACCTTGAACTCACAGAAATCTGCCTGCTTTTGCCTCCCGAGTGCTGGGATCAAAGGTGTGCACCACCACACCCATCTTATTTTGGATTTTTTTTTTTAAGACTGAGTCTTTTTTTAATTTCTTTTTATTTTATGTGTATGCGTGTATTGCCTGCATGTAGGTAAGCGCACCTGTGTCATGCAATGCCCTCAGAGGACAGAAGAGGCTGTCGGATCCCCGGGACTGGAGTTATGGACAGTTGTTAGCTGCCATGTGAATGCTGGGATTTGAACCCCGGTCTTCTGCAAGAACAATCAGTGTTCTTAACTGCTGAGCCATCTCTCCAGCCCCTATTTTGGATTTTTTAATTTGTTTTTATTTTATGTGTTTGAGTGTTTTGCCTGCATGTATGTATGTGTACCACATGCATGCAATGCCCTCAGTGGCCAGAAGAGGGAGTCACATGGCTGGAATTGGAGTTGTGGATGGTTATGAGCCATCATGTAGGTTCTGGGAATGGAACCCGGGTTCTCTTCAAGAGCAGCCAAAGCTCTTTAACCACTGATCCATCTCTCCAGCTCCCCACCCCCTTTATTTTTGAGACAGTCTCCATGTAGCCCCACCAAGCATGGAGTTCATTATGTAGACCAGGCTGGCCTCGATCTCAGAGGTCCACCTGCCTCTGCCTCCAGAGTGCCAGGATTAAAAGTGTGTACCACCACACTGGCTTAATTCTTATTCTTCTTATTATTTTTTTTTTTTTGGTCTTTTTGAGACAGGATCTCCCTGTAGCCCCAGTTGTCCTGGAACTCACTATGTAGACCAGGCTGGCCTTGAACCCACAGAGATCCACCTGCCTCTGCCTCCCAAGTCCTGGGACTACAGGCGTGTGCCACCACGCCCGGCTTAATTCTTAATTTTTAAATAAAATATATTACTTAATTTGTTTGTTGTTGCATTAGGGATTAAGCCTTGGGCCTCATGCATGTAAGGCAAGTGCTCTACCAATCGGCTACATCCCCAGCCCAAGGTCACTTAATTTAAATCAAGGAATATATCTGCATTTTGAAAACTCTCAAAACTCAAAAGATAAATTGGGCACAGGGTGAGATGAGTTCCTCTCTTGTCCCTACAGCTAGCACCTACTTCTTCTGCCCAAAGGAGGTCTCTACATCAACCCTGCTTCATTGTGAGATGGTGCCTCCAAGGAACTGGGTGACTAAATCAGGCCAGGGACAGAGTACAGAGCACTGTGAGCATGGCTCTGGGAAGAGCTTAGCCTAGAAGAGGCAGTGTGACTTAGTAGCTTACTGAGGGAAGCCTATAGATGGATGGGCTCTGAAAAGGAGTCTGCCATGTCCAAGCTCTGAGACCTCAAGTGAGCTGTGGAACCTCCTGGGGCTTTGTTTCCTTATGAGGGAGTACTAGTACCTACTTCACAAGGCTGCAGGAGAGTCTATAAGCAAATGTTCCAGGACCAACACTGGCATTAGTACTAAAGCTACCTTCACTTCCTCAAGGCAAAAATGAAGTAAGCACCTGGATATACACCAGACCAGTGGGTGAGAACCCAGTGCACAGCCACTTCTGACCTGGGGGCTTAGAGAATCAGAGGG